CATCGCCACAAGGTAAGATCTAATATGACTCCTTACCTGTGTTCGGTCGGATTCGGTCCGGGACGTCCTCCAACTGCTCTCTAGGCGTCTTTTCCGGCGTTTCATCTCTCTCAGCTCCTCAGTAAACCAAGGGGCTAATTGAGATCTACGCCGGGTCAGAGGCCGCAGCGGCACGACTCGGTCCAGTGCTGCGGCCGCAGCCGCATCCCAGGCCGCGGCCTGATCTTCCGCCGAGTCGTGACCTAACGCCTCCGGATATGGCCCAAGCTCCGTCAGGAACCTCTCCGGGTCCATCAGGAGCCTGGGACGGAACCATCTAAGTGGTTCCGTCTCCCTGCGGCGAGGGGAAGTAGTCCGGAAGTCCATCCTCAGGAGTGCATGATCTGACCATGACAAGGGCTCTATGACTATCTCCCCCGTTTCCAGATCATTCTGCCACTGGCCAGAGACAAAAATCAGATCCAGTGTGTGACCTCCTATGTGAGTGGGTGCATGAACTAATTGGGTCAAGTCCATGGTCGTCATGGAGGCCAGGAACTCCTGAGCCACCGCCGACGTTTCGCCCGCCGATGGCAGATTGAGATCCCCCATGACTATAAGTCTGGGGGTCTCCACCGCCACCGCGGCTATCACGTCAGCTAGCTCAGGCAGGGCCGTTGACACATAGCAGGGGGCCAGGTATATTATCAACAAGCCCACTTGCACCCCTTGTCCCCACTTCACAAGGAGGGACTCAACACCGTCTATCTGAGGCACAGTGGTCTCCCTTGGACACATATTCTCCCTTATAATGACCGCCACCCCCCTGCCCCTACCCCGGGCCCTCGGCTGATGGAATGCTTGGAAACCCGGTGGGCATAGATCAACAAGGGGAACTCCCCCTTCCATGCCCAACCAGGTCTCGGTGATGCCCGAGAACGAGTCCATATGAAACTGCTGCCTGGAAATCGAACAAGTCGCTGGAAAATGGGTATCTGTTTACAACGGGTGGCACCAAGCTCCTATCTAGTGGACATTGATGGAACTCTCTACCATCGCAATCATATGGATCTGCATGTGGCTGAGCAGCCTGACTCGCAGCCTGACTCCATATCCAGTGGACACACACGATTCACCTAGGCCACACTTACCCACTGGCAATAGGGAATGCACAGTACTGATGCCACAGACCAATGCTAATAACAGTCCTGAGCGAGCCGATATACCTGACAGCAGTCAAATGCAGAACGTCCCAGTAAGTGGTGAGAAGAGCCCAGCAACCTCAGCAAGGTTGGAGTAACTCTTAGTACAAAGAGGGCCAGACGGTCGCAACCACCCAACAGACTCAACCTATAGAAAGTGTTCTTACTGGTTCTCATCCAAAATTTCATAATGTTGTTTGGTTAACATGAAAAGGGAAAGATGTTATGGGTGTTATGTTTACCTTATATGCAGCTCTATCATTCATGTCTATTGTATTTGTTTCCTGTGTCATATTGCTACTCTGTGATTCATCTCATTGTTCCTGTGATTCCTGTTGTTGTATTCCCTCTCTCTGTAAAACATGGCTTCTGCACAGTGATGCTTTGTATTGTATTTACTGACTCCACATGAAACACCAACCTTACTGCACTCCAGGAAGGAGGAATGTTTAGGTATAATGTATAGATTAGGTATTACATTCAGGTACTAATCAAATACTCTCTGGAGTCACCTGGTGTTTTTTTTAAACTGGTTGCTCAGATTGAAAAACTGCCTTGGCTGCAAATATGGCAGCTTCTGGGAGATTTAGTTTAATTGCAATTTGTCCTTTATTGAAGTTTTAATCTATTTTCAGTAATAAAATATGCATCTGGGGTTTTAAAATTTTCTCTAAGGTATCTTTAATACACTAGGAAGTTAAACAAATCAGCTGAAACAAAAAAAAGACATTTGGTTTCTTTAGAATGTGTTTTTCCTCTCTTGATTTATATAGACGCACGCTGTGGAAACGGATCCAGAGTATGGTGACCCCATTTCTGGCCTACATGATATCTATTTTGGACAGAGATTATAATCTGGATTTGCTGGTCGAACCAACAACAGAAAATTGTGTGAAAGCCTTGTGGTTATTCATCTTCAATGAACTAAAACTTCTAGACATCCCTTATGTCATGGGTCAGAGCAGGTAAGCTATGGGAAGAAGATGGGGACAAGGTTAAGAAACAGATTTGTTGATCACAGAGAGAAGTAAATGGATTTTGAAGTAAATATGAAGGAATAACGTGGTATATACCTATACCAGTGATGTGCAATTCTTGTTTAGCTTTTCATTTTTCTTTTTTTTTCTTTTTTTTTATTGAAAATTTTATAAAGTTTTACAATATAAATCCCCCTCCCCCCAAACCCAACCCTCCCCCCCTTCCCCCCTCACTTCCCAGAGCCAATCACAGGATTAACAATAAAATAATCATAATCTAACTAACATTAATCAACTATTAGTCTAACAAATCTACGAGTTCCTTTAACTCTCTTTTAAAACAAATATACAATTATTAAACATCATTTTAACATAATTTTAAATATTAAAAATCAAAAGTTCACTCAAAAACCAAATGATATTTTTTGTTCCATATTTCAACTCAACATAAACAATCCATCTTCTCCAAACCAATATATATCTTTCTTGTGAGTAATCCTTCACGTAAGCGGAAATCTTGGCCATTTCAGCTAAATTTGAGACTTTAACTACCCAATCTTCTATAGTAGGTATACCTTTCATTTTCCAATGCTGAGCAATAAACAATCTTGCAGCCGTTATAAGATTTAACATCAACTCCATTTCTTTTACATCCAAATCTTCCAAAATACCCAATAAAAATATCTGTGGTTTAAACTTTAACTTTTTCTTAAAAATATTTTGAATGTTCCACCAAATCTTAATCCAAAATGCTTTAACCACCTTGCACGTCCACCACATATGAAAATACGTTGCATCTAAATTTCCACATCTCCAGCACTTGGGTTGTAAATTAAAATACATACACGACAATTTTTGTGGATCCAGATGCTACCTATAAAACATTTTATAAAAATTTTCCCTTAAATTTTGGGCTTGCGTAAATTTTACATTTCTAATCCAAATTTTTTCCCATGTTTCCAATAGAATCGGTTCTTGTATATTTTGTGCCCATTTTATCATACAATCCTTAACCAATTCTGTTTCTGAATCCAATTCCACCAATACATTATAAATTCTTTTAACATGTGCTTGAGATTGATCTTTAATCTGTTTCATCAAATTTTCATCCTGCATAGTAATACCAACTTTTTGATCCATACGCCACCTCATTAACAATTGATTATAATAAAACCATGAATACACAATGTTTTCTTGTTTCAAATCTACTAATGATTTAAGTTGCCAACTTTGTCCAAACGGACGAAGTAATTCCTTATAGGAAACTTTATCTCTCTCCAAATGTCTCTTAATTCCAATTCATCCTTCAAATCAAAAAAAGTTTTAGGCAATAAAGAATTAAAAGTTTTGCAGGAGCCTTTCTTGTCTCTTCTTGCATCCAAAACTCCATTCCAATCTCCCATCATAATAACCGATTTATAATCCATTTGATTTAGTTTCTGATGTAGCAATTTATAAAACTTCTTCTGTTGTTGATTTGGTGCGTACAGTCCAACAATCAAACATTTTTTCCCATTCAACAATATGTCAATAAAAACATATCTTCCTTCCAAGTCCGATTCAATCAAGTTAGGCAACAACTCACTCTTGACATAAATAACTACCCCACCTCTCTTCTGAGGTGCAGGCGTTATAAAATGTACACCCAACCGTGAATTAGCCAATAATTTTTGATCCTTTGCTGTAATGTGAGTCTCTTGTAAACAAATAACATCATTTTTATATTGTTTCAAATAATGAAATATTTTCTTCCTTTTCTGTGGAGAATTCAAACCATTAACATTCCATGTCAGGAACTTTGCCATCTTTAGTGGCAGCGAGCCTCTGGAACGCTCCTTGCAGATCAGCTATCACTGATCTTTTCGGTCTCACTCCCCCCACTGGCTCTGAGATTACTTGCTGTGTTATTAATGTCAGCTCTCGTTGCTGTTGCTCTCTCTCTTTACGTCTATGAGCTGCATGCGTCATTCTCTGTGATTTTGGGCCTTCTTTCATTTCCATCAGTTGCTTAGCATGGCCTTGTTCATGTAAATCTTCACTTAATGATGATGATGTAGCTCCCTCTACAATTTTATCTTCTCTAATTCTTTCCTTTCTAGAATCTGAAGGTGGTGGTGGACCCGCTTTCAGTATAGAGATATAAAAATCCCTAGCCTTTACCACAGTGTTGAGCCGATAGCGGGTTCCCATATAAATAACCATAATAATAATAATAATAATAATAATAATAATAATAATAATAATAATAATAATAATAATAATAATAATNAAACAAAATCAAGAAAATGGTATTTTTCATACTAAATTTGTTTTATGCTTTAAAGAGGACTGGTTGACTTTATTTCCGGGGGAGATGCAAAACAATTTAAATCCCATTTTGTTTTCCAGCCCATGCAGAGAAGTTTCTAGACATCTTTCAGCAGACACCCCTGGGGCAACACATTGCTTGCTACTCGGAGGAAGAGAAGACCATCTTTTTTCACTGCTATGTCAGAGACTTTATTCTCCTGGCAATGGGTGTGACTTCAGAGAGGGAACTAAATGTGCGTATTTCAATCCTAGATGGCTAGATATTGGAGTCAAAAGCTTGCTTCGTGATGCCCAACAGCTGCGTGCTGTAATAGGTGCTAGTTAGTGAGTAGACTTGGCACTTAATTACCACTATATGATACGCAGATAAATGTGTCCCATGTATTGGAAAGACTATTGAAATCCTTATGATTCATCAGGTGATTGTGAGGAGAATCACCTTCAAATATGCTGCTGTATATTTTCAGATGTTGCAAGCGGCTCTCTTGTCATGCGTGGAAGAAATGAAGGCCGCCTCTTCTGGTGCAGGAACAAGAGTATCCTCCCTTCCTTGGGTCCACCTTGGTTATCATCAGTTTAGGAGTCGTCTGCAGAACTTTTCCCGGATTCTTGCTGTTTACCCTGAAGTGCTTCATACCCTTGAACAAAGAGAAAAGAACAGAAGCTGCACGTTGCCCAGTCAAATGGTGGGTGGGCTGTAACATTTAATCTTAATAGGAAAACGTGACACCTGGGGTGGGGTGGGGGAAGTGGTATTCTCTCTGTGTTCTTAATCAGGAGAAATGAATCTGTCTGCAAAAAAGAAGCTCCAGGCAGGTCTTCAAAAATGCTTTTATGGGCTATACTCCTAATGATTGTATTTGCTTTGTAATGGGAATACATGGGAGAATCTCCTAAACGGGGTCAAATAATAGAATTGATTTTATAGGTGTTCATATATAATACTTACTCTCCCATAAATAAAATTGAAATTTAAATAAGATATAGGTAACTGATCTCAATATATTGTAATAAAATTACAATGAAAGCTTTAATAAAGCAGGCTGAAAACAAGAAGTGTAAAGTTGACATGAAAAGAAAAATGGGGATTTTAAGTCAGTAGAAATGTAAGTCAAAATCAAAAAGTCAAACAGAAATCAAGGGGATGTAAAATAGGCCAATAAAACTGATGGGTGGGATAGATGGGAAGAAAGCCACCTAAAATCAGTAATGGTATTACAGAAGGGAACTACAGGCAGTCCTCATTTAGTGACTGATATTGGGACTGGCAACTTAGTTATTAAGCAAAGTGCTGGTAAAACTGTCATTAAATCGTGACTGTGATTATGATCTTAACTCCAGCTTTCCTTTGCTTTACAGACCTGCAAAGATTGTGAATGGCAAGCATTGATCATAAAATTACTTTTTTGTAACTGTCATAACTGAACGGTTGCTAAACAAGGCAGTTGCTAAATGAGAACTCCTTGTATTTATTTAGGGAACTATTTACGTATTTGATTTTTATACCACCATACTTGTCAGATTATTTAGCAAAGTATTTAGCAAAGTACAAAACCATAAACACAATGAGGCAGTGAGAGCATCAAAATCCAAGTTGGTCTACTTTACCAAAGGATGCTTAGATTCGATCATCTTAATGTAATTCTCTGTCCTAACGGTAGGATGAAGTGTATGTTCTTACATTACACGTGTGTTGTAAGAGGCTTCTTTATGCCTGTTTGCCATAGGTGCTAGATGTGTTTGCTGCGCTGGCCTGTACTGAAATGTTATCCTCGGCAGTCCTGACATGGAAAACTCGTGCATGGCTCCAGCAGGTGAAGGACCTTCAAATGCCCATTGAACTTGTATGTGCAGCAAATTGCAGCCGAGGCAGTGGAAGCCAATGCAGCCAAATGCTCCAAGAGGTCAAGTAAGTAAAATTTCAGGGTGGTAGAAAATGTTGTTATGGGTCTACTTTTGATGGTGGTAAGATCATTTCACGGTTGCTTTTTTCTATTGTTGATAAGTTGCTGACTTTTTCCAGTCAACTTTATAAGTTGACTTCCTATGATAATCGCATGCTTTCTAAACATCTTTAGTTCCTGTTGTCTCAGTCTTAACCTAGGTGGGATCTGAACCTGCAAAGTGGCAAGCGTGGAATGCTATGTTTGACAATCGTTATTTGTTTGAAGCTAGATTGGTTCAAGAGGACTAATGTGTACTTCAAGCTCTTTTGGCAAGAGCAGATGCATTTGTTCCTCTGCCCTGCTGCATTTGATCACATCTTAACCCCAGTTTTCAAGATGGCCTGCGTCAATTGTTAATTCCCAAAGTAATCCTTTGCTTCTACTTGAAGTTGGGCTTGCAAGTGAATTCATAGGTTTATTTGCTTCCATAAAAGGCAGTACTGATCTCTTTATTATATAGTTAGAGTCCATTTGTTTTTCAGTTTAGCTTTTTGATAGTATGCTCTTTTCTTTTTTAATAAATTAGGGTTTTTTTCCCAATAGGAACCAATGGAATAGGGTGTTCTCAGTGTCCCTCTTTGTGGAGCATGTGCTGCTTGGAGCAGAAACTCTGATTCCAGAACTGAAGGAGCTGGTGAAGAAGTATATCATGAAACTTGACAACGTAAGAATGATAGCTTCACCTGATTGGAAATATTACTTTAAGCATTCATTTATTTAGTTGGTTGTCAACAATATAAGCACTCCTTATTAATTAAAAAAAACATTTTTTCTAGCCAATCATGGATTTGCGACCAAATTTCCTATGCCTGGCAACCAAAGCTGTGAAACTGATCTGGTCAGATTCAGGCAGCAGAGTCATCTGACAGGAGGGTTCCAATCAACTTAATTAAGACCTTGTTAATTTGTGATTAGCACTTTCTGGAGAAGGCTTTGGAGAAAAACAACCTCTGCCCTGTGTGGAGGGAAAAGAAAAGGAAAAAAAACGGGTCAGCTATAAGACACTGTATGAGAGAACTTTCTCTGAAAAAGACGGCAGCAACCAGGGATCTTTACAGTGTCTTTTCCATTTCTCTCTGTCATATGTTCTCTTAGTGATCATTTTGTTTCCAATGTAAGGGCTGAACTGTGGTTGCTAAATGAGGAAAGGGTGTACAGTCTTCTCTATTTAAACATTTAGGTTAATTACTATATGTCAACCTCAGAAGCTATACTTTGTTCAATTGTAGGGAATAGGAGTGCCCCTTCCCCCCCCTTTTTTTTTTCCTTTTTGATAAGCTGTTGCTTCCTGTTCCTCCTCCTTGCGATCTTCATTTGCTGAGTTTTACTTCTATAAAGTTGTACGTATTTCCAGCTGGGTATTTCATTTCACTCTGTTATATAGTAGTTATTTCTTATTTGTAGTTGAAGAGTTAAATATATTCTGATCAGGAGATCCATGGTCTACTCTATACTAAGGAATGTGCCATTTGTTTTGGAGGAAAAAATAAGTGGAGTTTTGGAATCAGTTCATTCAGTGAAATTTTGAGAGCTACATTATGGGCACTATTATATTTTATGAGTTTGGCCCATCATAAAATACCCATTTATTAGATGGCAAACTGATGAGGCTGTTCCTCACCACACCTGCTTACATTCCCAGGATATTCTCTGCCACCTCTGCTTATCTAAACAAGGACTGGATTGTTACCGTCCAATATCTTGTTTTCTCAGAATACCTTTGAAGTTTCCTTAGATCACAAAAACATCCTTAGAAATAAAAACGAGTATTGAAGCTGATGCTTTACAGTGTGTGTTAGCTTTCTGTTAACTTTTAAAATCAAAACAATACTTTATTGTTTTTATAAAGAATATTTACATCAGCAAAAGACAAATGTAAAGTAAAAAGAAAGGGAAAAGAAAAAGTATAAAGAGCTAAACAGAAAGAAAATGTAAAGAAATAATCAGAAAAAAGTGTCTTCCGGCTTTCTTTCCAACATTATTCCTCCTCCCTCTTTGATATCCCTTCGGTCCTCTCTTAATCTTTTTTTCAGTCATCCTACCCATAAATCACTACTTTGCTCTTTTCTATTTTCAGCAGAAAGTCCCCAAAAGTTTTCCAGTCTTTTATAAAAATAATTGTTTTAATCAAATGGGTCAGTTTCTGACAATTCTGCCATCTTCTCAATCTATTCCAATCTATTGTGGGTATTTTGGTGTTCCTCCATTATAAGTGATATAGTAATCTTGCTGCAGTTTCCATATATAAAATCACCCATGAGTCTTTTCTAGTTGTCTTACCAGTAAATCCCATCAAAACCAAACAGCAGGCTGCAAAATACAATTTAAAATCAATAATCTTAATCCTCCTCTTTCCTTTGGATCTTGAAGAATTTTACATTCAGCTCTTGTTTTTTTTATTATGCCATGTAAGTCTAGATACATCTTTTTTTATCATTGCTTAAGAAGCAAATCATTTTTCAAAATAGATATTGTTTGAAATAAAAGCATCATTCTAAAGTACATTCATCTTTACCTCAAGACCTCTCCAGACAATGATAATTGTAACTTTTCTCATTTTTAACAAATCTTTCTTAATTTCATTCCACATCTTAACATAATTTCTCCTTCTGTCCTGGCCACTTTTCACAGAGTCACAATTGAGAGCGTTTTAACAAACTGCATCACTATTTGGTTCAGTGGTAGCAGTGCCTCAGACAGAAGGTCCATACAGAGAGTGGTAAGGACAGCCGAGAAGATTATAGGAAGCTTGTTTCCCATTATGCAGGACACTGCTTAAAAGCACTATGTGCTTAAAGCTTGAAATATTGTTTAAAGACCCCACACACCCACTTCATGGGGTCTCTTTCTGTTGCTCCCCTCTGGGAGGAGATTTTGAAGTATTTATAGCAGAACTACCAGATTCTGTAACAGCTTTGTTCCCTACGCCATCTGTCTGGTAAACTCACAAGATTCGTTTTTCTCACCATATATATGTATACATCCAAACTAGACTTTGTTGTTTCTCTGGGTCATATATGTGTTTGTATGTGGGTATATGCTTATTATTTTTTTGTCATGTTTATGTAGCGTATATTGGAGGTGGTTACCCTTTGAAAGCTGTATGCAGCAAAATCTCATTTTAATGTATGCCGATTAGTGTACGTTTAAAGTGACAATAAAGTTATTCAATTTAATTCTATTCTAATTATTTTGAAATAATGTACAATTTATAAATCATTTTAATATGCAGTTATTTTGCTTTTTTCTCAATTTGAAAACCAGTTTTTGTAATCAGTTCTTTTTGATCTTTCATCCTCGTGTTTTTTTCTCCTTACTAATTTAAAATTAAAACAGTGTTTTTAAAAGGTTTGATATTTAAGCATTTTAAATATTTTTTAAATGGTAAGTGAGAAAACATGTTGGTCCTATACTTCCACTTTTGGAAATTGTAATGATGGCATTTCTCTCCCCACTTTCCTCTCCCAGTGTTTTGAATGGGATTCTGACATCAAAACTATGAGAACATTCAGTGCAGTGATGAGAATGCTATGTCAGTGCAAGGAAGATGCCAGTCTATCATTTTGCAGGTAATGCTTTAGGAATGGAATGATCCGTATTGTAAGAAAGGCTTCAAAAATATCACAAATGTTTTCGTTTCTGTTGAACCACAACCTGGCATTTAATAAGAAAGTCAAGACCTATAGTAACTCAACCTGGCTCCCAAAACTCTCTTTGTAGATAGAGGCAGCAGAGGTAGGAGCCCTTATGAATGAATGAATGACTCCTTTCTGCCTTTATAGATTTGTGTTTTCCTCTTCTTCTCTTATCTCTTCCTTCCCCATGAGAGTGGGAAAAAAAGCAATGGAAGCAATGCTTATACGAGGTCACAGACATAGGTTCAGAATATGCACCAAGATCAAACCTATTTCAACATTCGTCACCGTGTTAGTCCTTTTCCTGGATGCTTATTATCTCACTGTCACATAATACAGAAATCTGAATAAAATTAAAGAGGAACTGATTTTTTTTCAAACTAATTTAAAAAACCAGGCTATAAAACAATGAAATGGCATACAGTGGCAGCATTTACAAGTTGTTCATAGGTGAATAGTAGAGAAAAGAAGGTATATTTTGAAATAAAATTCTTGCCTAGAAAGTAAATCTAAGTCAATTGGTATCAATAAAGATTATAGGGAATCACTAACAAAAGAGACAGAACTTCAGATTGCTTTAATCTTCGGTATACAGAGCTAAACTATGCCTGCTGATTCTCAGGGCTAGATTTCAGGATTCAGGAGAAACATCTCTTCTGAATGTGGTCACGTGCTTCTTAAAATTAGGTTTGTAGTTTGTAGTTCCTATTCTTAACCAGCCATGAAATATAAGTGATAAGGAGGACTCTTTTTAGCTTTGCCTATGAATCAGTTGCATCATTACATGGAGGGAAAAGATCAATTTATGGTGACTCATATGCTGGTAACTTCAAAACCAAATTATTACAGTGCGTTTTGTCTGTGGCTTTCCTTAAAGATGGTCCAGAAATTGGAACCAAACCACAATATAGCACAACCTCCCAAAGGTCTGGCATAACCTCCCAGTTCAAATATTTTTTTTCTAGTTGTTGGTGGCTTTGTGGTACCAATACAAGCTGATCACAATGAACTTGGTTTACGACAAGTTTAGTTGAGGATTGCTTACTCTGACAGAGTACGCCTCACACTTTTAGGTCACCACTGAAACACTCTTGGTGAATCTTTGCATATATTCATTAGATAGCTGTGATTATCTCTACTTTTCCTATGAGAGAAGTTATATGGGGGAAGGTACTGACACTGAGGTTAAAGCAAACCCCTCCTTTTGAAGCTAGGGCTTAAAGCAAAGTTTTTTGCCAAGGCATTTTAATTGTAATTTTGCTGCTCTTATTATATTTCTGGAGGCAGCCCTGGACCATGTTAGGAATGGGCAACATACAAATACTCTAAATAAATAAAAACAAATGTGAAGGGTAGAACGGGGCTTACCTATGCTACTACTTCATTGTGAACTCTGTAATTAAGTATATATTGCTACTTACATGTTTCTCTCTTGATTTCACAGGTTTGGTTTAAGATCATGCCCAATATGTTTGGGCGATTCTAGAGATCCAGTAAACCTTCCTTGTGATCACGTATTTTGTTATGATTGTATCAAACAGTGGCTGGGGCCGGGACAGATGATCTGTCCACTTTGCTTGGTCAGTCCACCAGATGATTACAATCCCACAGTATCTGAGGAGCACAGGTGAACCTTGTCCTTCTTAGCCAGCAGATAAATTTTTCTGAGGACATTCAGTTGCTGCATTGGCTCTGCATTTCTTGATAAATAATAACTTACCATTTTCTCCACAGCATTGCCATAAAGAAAAACACCCAGTTCCGTAAATTATGCAACCATTTTTTCATTGACCTGGTTTCCACAATGTGTTTCAAAGGCAACAATCCCCCAGAGAAATCTGTGATTGAAGAGCTATTGAATCTGATGTTTGTGCACAAGTCAGTTTTGAAAGGTATGATCATAACATTTGTTGAGATTGTTCTAACCTAAAGGGAAGGATTGTACGTTTCTCCAGACTGATTTGCATTATATCCTTAGGCCCTGAAAACTTACATACCAAATCTTTGTCTCCCTTTGATGATGTGGTGGATAAAACTCCTATAATCCGTTCTGTGGTGTTAAAATTGCTTCTGAAATACAGGTAAGATTTTCAACTGGGATGCATAAATCGGGGCAGAACATTCTACTTCAACATCTCTGTTGCATGAACTATTTTCATTATACGCCTCCTTACAGTTCAGACATCATTTTTTAAAACTTAATTGATTCTTCTCCCTGCTTCCTTCTACAACTGCAGAAATGCATCCTTAGGACCCTGGGGATATCATTTTTATTTCCTGAAAATTGTTAAAAATAATAATAAAAAAATCCCTACATTATTTGTGGATAAATGGAGGTTGCTCTTTTCATAGCTTCAGTGATGTGAAACTCTACGTACAAGAGCATTTATCACAAGTTGAAGCAAATCACATCATGGACAAGGAAGATAAAATAGAGCTGTACATGCTATTCATCAGTTGCTTTGAGGTAACTGTCTTTTTCAGATTTCTTTTAGAGGGAAATGTGGCCAGTGGGACAGTAGGTTGATGAGGAAGAGTATTATATTTGCATGAAAAAAGTGTGTGCTGCTCTCCTTAAAGAAAAAAGAGAAGGAAAGGAAAAAGATATTTGTTCCTAAAGAATCTGTAGTTATCTTATTTCTGCTATGTTTTTTGGCTCCTGTACACTTTGATTTTCTCAAAAAATTGTACATTGTGTTTAGGTCAAACTCAAAGACATGATTAAGATGCTGCTGTTATGCTATTGTATCAGAATCTGCTATATTGTAGTCAACTTTGGTTCTTAATTGATCTAGAGGAAATGACTGAAAATTTAAAAAGTAAAGTGAATCATTGTCTTTAGTCAGTCCTTCTCATTTTCCAATTTAGTTTTACATTCACTAAGTTATCAATTGCTGAATCTAGGATTGTTAAAGCAGCTTTTCATAGACCACATTGTGCCAACTTTTATTAAAATCAGCTTAAATCATGTTGCAGATCATGGCAAATGAACATAGTTTATTAATTTTACTAACTGGAGATTGTCACCATGTTCCTGATTTTAACAAACCAAATGATGTATATATGCACTGTATGTATGTATGTATCTTAGTTCTTAGTACCAGGTCTCCCTGTAGCCCTTTTTTTCCTGAATGTTTCACTTTCATCTGGAATTCTCACTTAAGAAATCTTTCAAGTTAAGGCCATTCCAGTGAACACATGACCGAGGCAGTTTCCAGTTTTGCCGGCACATAAAGTTTCTCCCATAAACTTTGGTTAAAAGTGCAGAAATCTTGATTGTACCTAAGTCAAAAGTGTAAAGCTTGAGGCATGCTTGGGCAGATTGGAGTTGGTAAATCTACTAGATCTAAAACCTACCCATTCCCTTAAGGCACCCACCAAGCCAAGGGACAATGCTCATCCTTAAGCTGGAATACTATTTTCCCCTTCATCTGCCTTACTATGAGGACAGTTAAACTTAGGGGTGGTCATTATCTCCACTGTTCTATTGCCTGCTCCCAAAGAGTAGACCTAATTATTTTGTTGAAAATATTCCAGATAGGTTCTTTGAATATGCCATCCCTGAGGACCTCAGTAAACTGTCTAAATTCTCGATCCAGCATTTTCTTTTATATATTTTTTTTCATACAGAAGAGTTAAAAATTGCTTAATTTGGAAGCTTTAACTGGTATAAAATAATGTGGAAAATATTCTTTTATTTTCAGGATTCATTGTGTGAGAAAATAGAAAATTTCCCCAAAGAAACCAAAATACATTGCTTGGCAAAGGATGGGTATTTTCTGGAAAATTATATTCATCAGTGGAACCGTTGCCATCCAGTCTCCCCAAAAATTACCATTGAGTATTTGCAAGGAATTGCCAATCTCCGTCTATGCATGGATAGAGCTGCAGAGGTGATCTTTGAACTTCACGAAACTTCAGGCAAGTGGATTATGGTAGCCACATGGAAATGCTAACTTTCCAGAGAACTCCCATAAGCAAGTTCTTATTCAGTGGAGAAAAAATTGAAAAAAATAATAATCTTTTTTTGTAAATACAAAACTTTGCAAGACAAATTCTCTTTGCAGGATATGTTCTCCATCTTTTTAGAACTGCTGTGGTATGGTTGGGAATTAAATCCCAACTTTTCTTCCTTCTGCAGACAATAGTGAAGATAAAGAAAAGCAAATCTACTTGGAAAAAGTGAGGCAGTTCTTCCACTGTATTCAGAATAACTGGCCAAACATTTACCTTGTGCGAAAGCTTACTAGCCAGTACGGGTTGGAATTCACACAGAAGCTTTTGAGTAACCACCACCATCACTGGGTATTTCCATCAGAAATAGTTGAAGAGCAACAGGTAATTCCAATATATTTCTGTTTAGGTAATTCCAATATATTTCTGTTAACAACTTATAAGTATTTCTGGAATAGCAATAGCTTCACAGTGCTTTATAGCCCTCTCTAAGTGGCTTACAGGGTCAGCATATTGCCCCCCAACAATCTGGGTCCTCATTTTACCAACCTCGGAAGGATGGAGGGCTGAATCAACTTTGAGCCGGTTAGAATCAAACTCCCTCTGCAGTGGAATGCCGAGTTAGCCTGTAATGCTGCATTCAAACCATTGTGCCACCACACCTCTTCCAGAGACGGCTTTGAACAGATAAATGAATGGGTGTCAGAAGAAATTTTTTGAAAGGATCTTTGTTTGGCTTACCTTGATTAGTTTGTCTTGCTGTGAGATATTAGTGTTAAAATAGAATGGCTGGAGAGGCAGCTATCTAAAATTAAACTGTCAAGCAGTTCTGAATGGCCAATGGATTCATGTGCCTGTTTACTTTATGGATGACATAAAAGTTTTAACTTTCAGAAGCTTCCAATTGTCCAACTTTCTAAAGAAAGTCTGAAAATCCCATTGACTGTGGTAGGGACAAGTTAAATGAATGAGTGAATTAGTACATGCAGTATGCCTTTAAGAGGTTTTTTTTTTTAATGTTGTGGTTTGTGGCCTCAGACACTCCAACCTGGTCGCATTGATCGATTCCTGGTTTGTGGCAAAGACTACAAAGCCATACGGAATGCTGTGGGGGAAGCATTGATAAAATGCGAGACAGAAGCCATGGCAGCAGCCCTGAAGGTAACTTCTTTCTTTCTTTCTGAGCAGCTTAGCTCTTCTTGGTTGGCAGGAAGGGGGGCCTTCTCTGACTTGGTAATAAGCACAAAGTCCTAGAGGATTTCTCAGATGCTCCAGTCATTTCTGTTTCTATTAGCCATGCTGGACAAAAAAAAGAGAGATTTTTGTTGATACTGTTTTTCAAGAGCCAAATGGCATTCTGGTATTTGTTCTCCAGTGTTAGGAACCCAGTTTGAAAATTTGGAAGAAAGTTTTGCTGTAATTGTTTACAAATGAAAAACTATTCTTCCTTCAGAAATAGCTCATAGCCTGTTTGAGCCAGTGAACTCCTTTGGGATTTAATTCTCATGGCAGCCATAGGGAAATTTACTCAATTTACTTAATCCTCTCTGTCATTCAAGATTACCTTATATTTGTGTGTGTGTGTGTGTGTGTGTGTGTGTGTGTGTGAGAATTTTTCCAAACAAAGCACCACACTGTAATCATTTCCTAATTTTATTTCTGGGACCTGGAGGCATTCCTTCACAAAAAGTTGAAGCTCATGCTGGCATTTTTCATAGCAATGTGCTTAGTTATCCATAATTGCTTTGATTAATAGAATCTGGGGAAAAACACAGTGGGGAATAAGAAATATGTACAAAGGATCTGAGTTTTAATCCACTTTGGTCTTATCAGGATCATTGATTCTAATTAACCTGATATCAGTGATTTATTTTGTAGAATGCTTTGAATATTATGTTTGATTGGTGTGGAAGACAGATCGGCTTACAAAGAGAAACTCAAAAAGATAAAAAATAATGTAGTCCAAATTACTTGCACTAGTTGGTGGAATAAATTGGACTGCCGGATTGGAATAGAGATTCTTATGCAAATCTGTGCCATTCCCTTGCCTGGTTTTCCCTTTACAGTTGGTGAGAAAAGTTTCACAAAACAGCTTGGTCTAGCTCAGTGGTTCTCAACCTTCTTAATGCCACGACCCTTTAATATAGTTCCTCATGTTGTGGTGACCCCCAACCATAAAATTATTTTCGTTGCTACTTCATAACTGTAATTTTGCTACTGTTTTGAATCGTAATGTAAATATCTGATATGCAGGATGTATTTTCATTGTTACAAATTGAACATAATTAAAACATAATGATTAATCACAAAAACAATATGTAATTATATATTGTGAAATATTTATTTCTAATTACAAATAAATGAAATTTTGGCATTGTAGTCCAAGGATTTCAAGTCACATTCCCTCTTCTTTTAAATATTCAAATGCATTGTGCAAAAAAATAATGGTAATCCTGTGAATTATGTTGAATTTTTATCATTTTTGATGCTGACATTTGATTGGAATTGCAAATTAATGGTGGAGAATTGGGCCCCAAGCTTCTGTAAGGTAAGCTCATACCTGGCAAGGAAAGATGAACCCATATAAAACTTCCAAGGGGAAAGATGGCAATTAATTAGCCCCCACTCCAATTTAACTGACGAGGACCACCATAATTTCTGCACAGCCTGCCAGTGCTCTCTACTCCGGTGTTTTGCATCCAAGCCAGAGAAGTTTTTTTCTCTAAGCAGGGAGAGGGAAGGATCTGCTCTCAGGAGTTAAGCCTGAAACCCCGCGTGCGGCTGCCCTTCATCCACTCACACAACCCTCTTAACTTCAAGTGTCTCCAAAGAGAGTCAGCTCAAAGTTACAATTGATGGGTTGTTGTTCCTCTTCATCTTTTGTGTTTCGTTTGAAGCGCCATTGTACATAGTTTTGCCTTCGGGACTTCCCCCCTGCTCCCGGGATTTGCTCACGCTGGGTATCGTCCCAAACTTCCTTTTGTGTGGCACTCACGCCTAAAGACCTCGGGAGGGACAGACAGGAAAGATGAGGGACACCGCTCATGCGGCTTTTTTGCAGCTCCAGCAAAAGAACCTGGGGGAAGCAGCCCCGACAACAAAGTCCCTACCACCACCACCCAATCCTCTTCTTGGACATCGCAGCCACATGAAAAACCAGCAACCCCCCCGTCTCCCCAGGCCAAGGGGTGCAGGATGAAGCAAATTTTGGTCAAAATATGCCTTCCATGAGGAAACGCTTACCTTGAGATCCTTTTTCTATTGCCCCATCTATTAGCTTCTCTATGGGCGTGGGAATATTGAGGGGGGGGGGCTCTCTGCTTTTCTACAGATACAATTTCACTGCACGATAAAAAAAATGGTTAGAAATCCTGTCAAGGCATGTGATTGATTGAATTATTTCCACCCCTCTTTTCCTCCTAAACTCCCCCCCCATTTTAGAACAATACTCGGCAGCTTTTTTTCATTATGTCAGACAAAAATGGCTGATGACAGAGAGGAGGATCGCGGCTGCCGTTGCCAGGGAATGCTTGGCTCTCCTCGCCGCTACTGTGGCTGCAGAGGCTTCAGCCACGAGGCGAACGCGGAGGTTGATTAGGGTCTGGTATCTCCCAGTCATGCCTTGAATGTAGGAGGATAACTCTTCCTGATTCCTCCCTCCCTTTTCCTACTTCTCCAGGCTAGGAAAGTCTATAGTGTCTCGCTTCCTAAGACCATCAGAAATATGTATTTTCCGATGGTCTTAGGCGACCCCTGTGAAAGGGTCGTTCAACCCCCAAAAGGGTCGTGACCCACAGGTTGAGAACCGCTGGTCTAGCTGCTTATAGGTTAGTCTAGGAGGATTTAAACTACTATGATTCAATAACTCTTTGGAATTTGGAGTGTAAGGCTGTGTTTTATTAATTCAGGTTTTATTCTGTGCTCTTAATCATTCTGTTACCAGCCAAAGATGGAAACTGTACTCCTGATTATCTTGTCTCTTTTTAATAGTTTCGGCTATTTGTATCTTTCCCTTCAGGCATATAAGGACTCCAACTCTGCACCGGCAGTTCATTTTCTTTTGACTATCTTCAGAGAGCTCACATCACTGTATAGATGCAGAGACCCAAATGCTCACCCTAAGCAGAAGGTGAATTCGTTTTCATTGTGATCTGCAAATAAGGGCTATTTTAGATGGAAAAGTCCTGCTAATCATAGTAACGACTGGGCTGAACTAAATATAGGACGGTTGTGCGCAAAACCAAGCGTTCTGTGTTTTCTCCTCAGGAAACTCACAGCAGCAGTTTTGAGCTCAGATCATTTCATGATCAAACATTTTGCACGTCCCGAATGGGTTGTGGTTTCTTTCAGGTGTTTCCATTTGGAAAATTTGTGACAAGGCTGTACCTATAAACCAGACCTGGGCATTTTAAGGCCCACATCTGGCCCGTGGGCAGTCCGAGTCCAGCCCGTGGTGGCATCGATGGCAGGGGGCTGTGGCAGGGGGCCGGGGGCAGGGCAGTGGTGGCAGGGGGCTTGGTGGCAGGGGGCAGGGGAGTGATGGCCTTCCACAACAGTCTCAGTTTCTCATGTGGCTCCTTGGGACAATTAATTGCCCGCCCCTGCTCTAAACTAGATAGGATTTCCATATGCCTGTTTTCTGTATTGCTACTTGTGTTTTATGTTAGTGGATTCATACCTGTCCTGAGGTCTCTTAGTATCACTATATTGTAATTTTCCTAGAATCACTAAAGCAGGCAGCAAGCAACTGCTAGTAAAGTGCAATAATATTAAATGAATGAGTGTGTAAATAAGTAAATAATTAATCATTGTTATGTCACAGATTAAGTCTTTTGAACCTATGAGACAATCTTACTTACCTTTGTTTCCTCCTTTATTCAGCAATGTGATATACTTAAAGAATTCATCCGGAACTCCAGAGTTCTTCCATCTGCAGAACTGAAGGCATTTGCTGAATCTCTTGTGTCTAATCAGCTCCCCTTGCTGACCCTGCCCCCTCTGTCTTTCGGCCACAACACGATGGTGATTGAAATGGCAGTTCACACTGCAGTTGTTTTGTTTTGTGGCCAGAATCAAATCCTTCAACCTCTAAGGAATCTGGCATTCTCACCTAATACCATGCTGGTAAGGAAGTTCATGCTGGACTTCTGTTAGTTTTTTTAACTTAAAGTCCTTTAAAAAAAATGCATCCTGCCTCTTTGTTAACTTGAATATTCAGTAAGATTAACAACTACTTATAATATGTAATGCAGATTTTAAAAAAATACAGAAATGAACAATGCTCAAATTAATGAGCAAGAAATCTAGAAAGCAGTTCTAGAGGCAGAGAAGGTGGGTATCAAACCCTCCGTAACTTGGGAATGTTCTGTGGCAAGAGCCTCTCTACATATTTTAACAACTGGATGGATCCATCATGGGAGAGGCTGTCCTTCAGAGAACCACACCGTAGGCCATTTAAAGCCATGTTTCTTAATCTCGGTGAGTTTAAGATGGGTGGACTTCAACTGGCTGGAGAATTCTGGGAATTGAAGTCCACCCATCTTAAAGTCACCAAGGTTGAGAATTATTGATCATTAAATATAGCATTAAATATAAACACTAACCGCTTAAATTATGTTCGGGAAACATTTGGTATAGGCACAATCTTTTACTGGTTAATAAATTGTATAATATCCCAGTTAAACCTTTCAGACATTCTTAGGAGATAATGCTGGGCAATAATAGTAGCACTTAGACTTATATAGCACTTCATAGTGCTTTACAGCCCTCTCTAGGCAGTTTACAGAGTCAGCCTATTGCCTCCCAACAATCTGGGTCCTCATTTTACTGACCTCGGAAGGATGAAAAGCTGAGTCAACCTTGAGCCGATCTAGATCGAACCTCTGGCAGTGAGCAGAATTAGCCTGCAATACTACATTCTAACCACTGCGCCATCATGGCTCAAACAAACTAGCTTATTTCCTAGCTTCCCCTTTTGTTTATTTATACCTTTACAATTTCGAGATAATTCTCAGTGTTTACTTTTTAATTATATGAGAAAATGACTTTGGAGCAGTTAAATCAGAAATAATAATTGTGTATTATTTAATATCATGATTTAATTTTTCATCTCTCCTTTTACCAGAACGCTTTTCTGCCAACCATGCCAGAAGACATGTTGGCTCAAGCTATGCAGTGGAAGTTAAAGGAAGTAGTTCATTGGTATAGTGAGTATCAACCTTTGGAGTATTTGATGGGAAAGTCATAACAGACATATCCAGAATATAGATCTGAATAAACTTGGCTACAACCAGGAACCTATTTTCATAAGTCATAGGGATATTTTGGTGATGGTCCTGAAATGATTAGCCTTGTGACCTACATGATGATATTTAAGAAAATGTCGTTGGACTATAAGAATATAGGTCTGGGGTGAAGGTGGCAGGGGTGGGCGTGGAGGGGTGGAGGAGAGAACTATTGACAAAATCATAGCCATGAAGACAATGGCTAATCATAAAAGACCATTTCATAGAAGGGCAAGCTAAAGCATGTAAAATGGAAATTAAACCTAAATGCAAGATAAAGGTGTCACTGAGCTCCAAAATACAAACCTGCTCTGTTGAAGCCAACTGTTCTCTTTCCATACTCAATCCTTATCTCCATCACAAATGTCTCTATGTAGGATTGCCCTCTCCCTTACACCCTTTCTTTTTATGAATATATATACAAGGGCGCCTTTTCCTTTCCTCTGCACCAACTGGTGTTACCAAGTATAGCTGTGGTTTCTAGCTTCTTTATGAACCAAGGAGAGATTTATACACAATGACAAAAGGTTAAGAGCATGGCATTTTGTAGAGGAAATGAAGGTGTAAATTCATTGGTGCCCATATTTAAACCAATTTGCCGTGAGATCAGGGATGTCAATTTGTGATAGTTTAAAGAAGCTCACAGACTATGATTTACAGAAATGGGAAATATTTGTAAAGAAGTTTACAAATAATCCTGCCGTAGTGGTGACATGCAACAAGAAAATAAAAGCATCACTATTTTCTGATCATATATCATACCATGTAACAGATACAGTGATTATCTGCAAAATTGCTCAATCCGTCTCTGAAAGCAGCTAGCAAAATTTATTTTTAAAAGGAGTTTTCATCAGGCAATACAGTAGAATTGGATGTTAAAGTGTTGTTTGGCTCAGCTGCAGTTTTAGTTGGAGAAAAGTAGAAAAAACCTTTGGAAAGATAATACTTTTAGTCTTGCTGCTATATGTACAAAACTTTTTCAGTTGCACTTGGTTTCTACAGCACAGGTGTATACATTTCCCCCTGAATAGTTCTCCCATTATTTTCTAAGAAATAAATGCTAATGCAGCTTTCATATGATATTGCTGTTCTTGAAGATTCAAAAATCAAACTCTTCAATGTTTATTTAAGTTGTATAATGCCTGTCTCACCTAAGAGACTGTGGTTCATAATAAAACAACAAACACACACAAATAAAAGCATAGATTAAAAAGACTCAAGTACAAAGATAAAAGGTACAAGTTAAAAGTAAAAACCAAAATTAAAAAAATAATAATCTTGAGGATTTCACAGGCAATCTTTCTGGTATTTAGTTAAGGAAAATATGACATGTTATTTGCACGTTGAATGTCTTTTTTTCTCCTTTGTTTTATTTATTTTTTACAATGTCATTAGCTTTTTGAAGTTAGATTATAATGATGAATCCTGAGAATAATTTAGAATTCTTGGCAGCATTATACTGATTTACTTTTTGCTTTTCTTTATTCAACTAGCATGTCCAAATGGTCACCCCTGTGTTATTGGAGAGGTAAGAAATGGAGAGAGGGATGTATGTATGTATGTATGTGTGTGTGTGTGTGTGTGTGTGTGTGTGTGTGTGTGTGTATATATATATATATATATATATATATATATATTGTTTAAAATCCTAAAAATCGAAGGTTGACGAATGTGACTTCGTCGAAACGTTCTCAGCCAATTAAGTCAATTTTATTACCTTGATTAATAATTTATAAGTGATATTCTAAGCACATGGTAATTGGACTAAAATGAAACAGTGAAGAACTATTTTTGTTCTCTTTTTTTAATATTTGCTTTTTTTCCCCCAGTGTGGTCAACCTATGCATCGTAGTCATTGTGTTGATTGTGGTGTTCAAATTGGAGGTGAAAACCACAGGCCACTGCTAAACTTCCAAAGAGCAAGGTTTGAATTTCAATTTCTTGGAATTCTGAGAGAAAATTTTATTTATAAATGCTGATGAAAAAAATGAGGTATTTGCTGATCTTTTGGGTATACAAATAGTTTCCCTGCCTAGCAAATTAGTTTGAATATCAACTGTGGACTCCTAATGTCAGTTTTTCATTCTTAGTAGCTCTAGCTAATTTTGATCTTAGTATGCCTACTCTCCTAGTCTCTTTGGTCTGAGGTCAGTTCATCAGTATTTATAATGTGATGAACCTAGCATGCAAAGGGATAGATATAAATGCAATCTTGCGTTCTTGGTGCTCTCTGAGCTTGGTTGTTGTCTTGCAGATGTTTCAGTACTCAAACTAGGTAACATCTGCAAGAAACATCTACAAGAAACATCTGCAAGACAACAACCAAGCTCAGAGAGCACCAAGGACCCCTCATTTCAACCCTGATCTACAAATATGGAAGAGTTTTGAGTTCAAAAAGGAGAGTGCTTCTATTGCTAGGCAAAGTTCACAAGGAAGTCAGTGGTTGTCAAACAAGCTAAAATTTCTGAGATTTCATAGAAAAGGTTTTCATATACTAAGAGCCAATTACAACAGTTTCAAGTATGAGTCTATAACTGTTAGTTGTCATCAAGAAGTCTTCCAAATGATGGAAGATTCTCACACATAGGCTGAGAGAGAACCCTTTTAGAATCCTAGAGAATCTAAGCTCCAAAGCTTGGAGATTTGATGGGATTCCCACCCTTTGTTGTTTGTTTATGATTACACAGTCATAACACATTCATTCTCTGAGAGCTTTGTCAGTCCTTTTGAAATTATTTACTGTATTTTGTGTCCTGCGTTAGATTCTTGTAAAAGAACCACAACAAGCTTGTCGCAATTTCTCCACCTATTTGTGAGCCCCATTTGGGAGCAGTAATTAAGAATTGCAGACCCTAAGGCAGCTGTACCCTTTTCACCTACATTCCTCTTCTGGGCCAAGAATTTCTCTGGGGTCTTCACATCTTCTCTCAAGCATCTCCAGCTCCAGGGTTTTGCCACATTGCTGCCAGCACTTGGAAATCACTAGAAAAATTAAACCTTTTTGAAAGGTCTGGCCCATTTTTCCCATTCAGAGCAAAAATCAGGTGGCAGTTCTGGCAATGTACA